ACTCTCGGCAGCTGAGAGGAGCCCGCCTATCACCCCAGGCCTGTCCTGCCCCCAGGCCGGCTGCAGGGGGACAGGCCCAATGGGACCTCGGGCGGGGCCGCCCCCCGGGGAGGGCGTCTCACCTTCACAGGCCTTGCGGTCCGCTGCCAGGCGGTACCCCGTGTGGCACTCGCAGTGGGCAAGGCCCCGGAGCACCTGGCACGTGTGCATGCAGCCACCGTTCCGATTTGCACACGGGTTTCTGCCTGTGGTCACCGCCAGGAGGAACAGGGGCAAAAGGAAAGGATTAGGATGGGAGGTGTGGGTTAGGCCAGTGGGTGTCCCTCCTCCCACATCGATGTGGGGGCCCCCTAGACACCCCCGAGAAGACAGCATGCCTCCTCTCTTTGTTAAAACCAGCGTGCCCGGCAGCTCCCCAGTCCCGTGACCCTGCCACTCTGCACCCACTGCTGGCTTGGACCTCGGGCCCACCTGCCCTCACTCCTGGCCTGGGACCCAAGGGGCACTGTCTCAGCACCTGCTCCAGCCTGCCTCCCATTTCCACATCTCAGAGGCACTCCTGAGCCCACTCTACCTTCTCCATCAGGGAAGCCCCCTGTTTCCTTGACAGGCAGCCCGAGACCCCAGGACTAGGTGCCAGATGGGGTGTGGCCTGTCTCCTCCACCCCAAAGGTGGGGCCTGGGACCCACATGCCTTGCTGAGCCCAGGGTGGGTCCAGAACCAAGCGCCACACAAGATGCCCCCGTCCTAAGCTTCCTGCCCCCACAGACATTTGATCCCAGAGCGCATGGGAGCTGGGCAATGGCCTGTCCAGCCCAGAAGCCCAGCAGGGAGGTGTTTGCTCCCTCTGCCTGGGCTCAGACCGCAGGGCTCCTGGGCGGGTCTGTGGGTGCATGTGGGACAGGGGTCTGCGGGGGTTCCAGCTGTGCCCTGCCCTCCCCTGGGCTGGTGCACTCACGGACACAGCGCTTGCCGTCCTCCTGGAGCTGGAACTCGGGCCGGCACCGGCAGCGGTGCTGGGTCACCGTGAGCTGGACACAGTCGTGCTGGCAGCCACCGTTGCCCACGGAGCAGGAGTTGATGGCTGGGGACACAGAGAGGGGCCCAGATCAGTCCAGGACAGCAAGGCTGAGGGGCCCCGTGGAGCAGGTGGCGACACGCTAGCTCAGGAGCCCCTCCTCCACCCCAGAGTAGGGGCTTCAGGAGGGCAACACTGCTCCTATCTGGCCCCGGGCCCGTCTGGCCCTGCTTCTCGGCCCCCACACAGGGGATGCAGGACTGTAGTCTGACTCTGGGTCCTCTGACCCCAGCCTGCCCAAGCCCTGGGCGTAGAGACACTGCAGAGCAGACAGCCTCTCAGGAGAAGCCCAGAGCCACCCAGCACCCCACTGAGAGCCAGAGTGTCCAGGGCTCAGAGGCAAAGCAGGCTGGGAGGCTCCCTGGAGGAGGTGGCAGGCCAGCAAGAGGTGGTGGAGGCCCAGACATTCCACTATCTTGGTCGTCAGGCCAGGACAAAGAGGCAGGTATGGGTTGCCGTGGACAGCTCTGTGGCCACAGGCCTAGCCCCTGGTGCCTGATCCCTGCGCACCTCTGCCCATCCCAGACTGGGCCCCACACAAAACCTGAGCTCACACAGCCTCCACTCCTCCAGCGGCTGTGGGGACAGCACTAGGTAAGGCCACAGAGCCAGGGACCCAAGTCCCAGCCCCGGGACCACAGCGGTCAGGCCTTCACTCTCGGGTTCCTACAGGGTATGGCTCCACCGGGTCAGATGGCCGAGCAGTGCCTGTATACTAGGTGGCCGGGCTGGGCTGGGCTGTGCCTGGGAGGAGGTGCTGGGTGAGGCTGGGTGCCCAGGGTGGGCACCGAGCCTCTGGCAGCTCGGTCAAGGCTCTGGCAGTGGCCTCGTGGTTAGGGAGGGCGTTGGCCCAGAACGCGAGCAAAACCACAAGAATGCACTATTGTCTGTGTCCCAGCAGGCGGGACCTGAAGCAGACCTGAGTCCTGTCACTGAAACCTGGGGGCCATGGGAGGCAGGGCCGAACCCCGAGGTGCCCCCTGTGAGTCTGGGAGCCAGGAGCACGCACCTGGCACCCTGGGGGGCGGAGCTCTGCGGCCAGGGGAGCTGGGTGCCGTGCGGTGTGCTCTGCACCCGCGGAGCGCGTGAGCGGCCTCGGGGCTTGGAGGAGGCGGCAGCCACGCTGTCGGCCAGAAGCAAAGCTTCCTTCAAAGCAAGCGTGTTTGAAAAAAGCCAAACACAACACTCAGGATCCTGCCGTTTCTCCACGTGGGGTGTGTGGGTGGGGAGCCTGCACTGAGGCTCCCCTCCTGGGGCCAAGCCAGCCCCGGGGGGAGAGGAGGGCGCCCAGGGGTACCTCCTGCCCATACCTGGCCTGGCACATGTCGGGGGAGCAGCAGCGGAGGCTCGAGGCCTGGGCAGAGCAAGGCAAGCAGGGCAGCCACCACCTCACGTTCCTGTCACCCCTGAGCCTCCTTTCCACCCACTTACCCCCCAACTCTGCCCTGACCCCTCAAGACCCAACTGCCTCACCTGAGCCAGCTCTGCTTAAGCCCCTCCCTCACCCCGGAGGCTCCTGAGTGTGGCCTGAGCCAGCCCCACTCCTGGGACTCTGTCTGTGTTCACAGCACCAGCCCCGCTCAGGACTCGTAATAGGAACCAGAGCTCGTCCCTGGCAGGGCAGGCAGGCTCACGGAGACGGGCGCCGGGAGCCCAGGGCAAGGGGCCAGCGGTGGCAGGGCTGGAGAGGAGCCCCCGCAGACGGACAGTGCCCCGGGAGGAGCCCAGAAGCAGGGGGCACTGAGCCCACCAGGGGAGGAATAACAGGCAGGTGGGTGCAGGTGATGGGGTCCAGGCTCCCCGCGCAGCCTCTTGGGCCTGCCTGTCCCCATCCTGCTCCCCATTCTGACATTCCAGAGACTCCCAGGCTGCGCGCAGGAGGCAGCCCAGCCTAGTGCCACTTGTACGGCCTGTGCCGGGAGCCCAGGAAGCTGAGCCAGGGATGTTTTTCTCAGGCGCTGGGCTGCACAGCTCAGGGAAGGGCCAGCCCCTATGTGACCAGTGTCCAGAGCTGGAGGTGACATTTCCAAGCCCTTTGAGTCACCCATGTCCCAGTGACCCCTGCCTGGACATTCCTGCCAATTAAGACCACACTCAAAGCTGAGAGCCCATTGGAAGGTGGGAGGTGCCCCGGCCGGTGTGGCTCAGTTGGATGAGCATTGTTCAGTGCACTGAAAGGTCACCGGTTCAATTCCCGGTCAGGACACATGCCCAGGTTGCAGGTTAAGTCCCAGTCAGGGTTGTGTATGGGATGCAACCAATCACTGTTTCTCTCTCACATCAATGTTTCTCTCTCCCCCTCTTTTTCTCTCTCTAAAATCAACAAAAATATATATATTTTCAAAAAGAAGATGGGAGGTGAGGGGGCTCCACCACCCCTAATAGGCTGAATGCTTATATCCCCCTAAAATTCAACCCCCAATGTGACTGTATTTGGAGGTAGGCCTTTCATGGAGGTAATTAGGGTTAAATGAGGTCATAACGGCAGGGCCCTGATCCAACAGGATTTGTGTCCTTATAAGAGGAGATGGGATCTCTCTCTGTCTTCCTCTCTCTGCCATATGAGGACACAGCAATGGGGCAGCCAGGAAGCCAGCTCTCACTAGGACTGAATTGGAACTTCCAGCCTCCAGAATGGTGAGAAAATTAACGTCTGTTGTTTAAGACCCCCAGTCTGTGGTATTTGTTACAGCCTCCTGAGCTGACTGATACACCTTCATTCCCTAGTTTGCAAATTCCAGGACACGGGGCTTCAGCCAGGGGATTGCAGGGTCTAATAGAGCTGGGCAGCAACTCTGCCTCCTGCCAGCAGGGGCCGCCCTACTCAGGAGCCTCAGGTAGGAGGCCCGGAGAACAGGACCTCACCTGAGCAGGAAACTGGACATCTAGAAGACAAGTGTCCTATAAAGTGGGGGGCTCACTCTGCCTCTGCCAGCGGTTCTCCGTGTTTGGAGGTGCTAGTGGCAGCACCTGAGGCCTGAACACAGATTCAGGCTGAAGCCCAGGGTCAGGTGCACTTGAGTGGCATGGAGGAAATGGAAGGTGGGGGCTGTGGGTGCGGCTCCGCTGGCAAGGCCCTGGCCCCCAGGCCTGGCACGTGGGCCAGCCCGAGCTGGTCAGCTAAGGGGCTGTGCTGTGGCAGGCTGGAGGGTGGGGGACAGGCCTGTCAACTGCGGGTCCAGCCTTCCACTCCAGGCTCCCACCAGCTGGCAGGTTCAGGGCTGGCTTCATAGGTTCTGTAATTCCTGACCTCAGACTGGCTTGGTTTCTAATCCCAAGAGCCTCACCCCCCATGTGGTCAGCGGCCATCCATAGCCCTTCCCTCTAGGAAGCCCTCTCTGGGGCCAGGGCTGGACAGCAGGACAGGAAGGGGCGGCCTGCCAGCTCAGCCAGGAAGAGAAAAATCAACCTGGTCTCTGCCCACCCCTCTTTCACCCCGGGCAGCTCAGGTGTCACCTCATGCTCAGCCTTGTGTGTCCTGCCCTGTCCCCCACCACTGGATGGGGCCTCGGCATTACACGGGGACATAATTCACTTGTAGCCGTGCACACGTCCACCGTGCCACATTCCAGGGACATGAGCATGGGTGGCACCAGCCCCAACATCACAGACTGCACGCTGCCAACGGGCCCTGCTCCTCGGTCCCTGAGAGACAGCACCAGAGGCAGGCCCTTTGGAGGCCACAAGGCCGAGGGCCACCCTTCCCGAAGCCAGCAGCACGAGGCACTCAGAGAGGCCACAACGGGTCCCTCCAAAGTTCCAAATGGCACTCTCCCTTTTCATGACGCCTACTCATGACGCCCTGTCAGTGTCTCCAGGAAGGCCACCGTCAGCGCAGATGGGGAGAAGAGGGAGACCGGAGGGTGTATCCCAGCCCCAGGCCCCTCGCCGGGCAGCCACGGGAGGGAGGGGCCTGTGGGTGTCCACCAGGCCCAGCCCCCGTGGATGCCCTGTTCCAAGGAGAGCCTGCCCCCAGGAAGGGTGTGGGAGACCTGGGGCCCCGAGGACAGAGCCCATGGTGGTGGGCTCCCCGAAGCCCCTTCCCGCCCCAGTGGGCAGCAGCTGGGGCCGCCCCNCAGCATTCCTGCATCTGTTTCCACTTTCCGACCCAGAGAAACTTTATGGGGCAGCTGCCTCGCTCCCCCAGCAGCAGCCTGGACATGTGAGTGTGTGCTGGGGGGGCCCCCCAGGGCTGGCAGGCTGCCTGCCACATAGCAGCCAGGCCTGCAGGAAGGAGGCCCTCGGAGCCTGCCGCAGCACTCCGGGTCTCCCAGGTGGAAAGAAGGGGCATCCCGCCCCCAGCCCCCCAGAGAATGACCCCCATGGGGCCTCGAAGGCAGTAGCCAGCAGGGAGGGGTCAGCCCTGTGCCACAGCACTTATGTCCAGAGCCAGCGGGG